TCAATCCAAACCAACATATCAGCCATAATATTGGATTTCAACTCCACAACAGAGGATATTTGAGGGGAGTTAACCCCTATATAGATGGTGTTAAGTTTGGATACGTGCATGCTAAGTGTGTCTTTTAATCTTTGCCCTATCCCCGTTACACGACTATGGGCAAAGAGGGGCAGCTGTAGACACACTTTTTCTAACATAAACATATATATATATATATATATATATATATATAAATATTATTGTTTTATTAGACTAACGTTTACATTTATTTTGCTTTCAAGCCCAAACTCGGATTGCATCTGGCCCAGCAGAGTGTTCTACAACACACAACCCAGCTGGCAAGTCAAACCCGAAGATCATGGTTTCCAGAAAATCCTAGTCCACTCATCCATCAGCGCCGCACTCCCTAGCCCCGCATCCAGCGCGGCGTCTCCAACAACCCAAGTTCATTACCGTGTTTCTCGCCTCCTCAACGTCACACAAAGAGCAAACCACAAGAGCAACCAACTATCATTAGGATTCTAGTGCAAATAGGATTCTAAATATAGTTTCTTTTCCCATTATAAATAGCATGTAACACAGACGGTTGGGAAGGGAGAGGTTACATACAAAATACGGGGGAACTAAATACCGACAAAAAAACCAGATTCATTCGAAGAAAGATACATAAGCATTTCAGGGGGAGCAAACCGAAGCAAAAAAAGACAGAGATGTTCGAGGGAAAAATACGAAAAAAATCGAGAAACAATGAAAAAGAGAGGAGAATAAGCCATACCTTGTTTCTATTTTGGAAGCTCGTCGGTCACCATTTTTTGAAGGTACAGTTTGGAAAGTGAAGACGACGATCACTATTTTTTTTCGAAGCTATAGTTTGGAAAGTGAAGAGCCCCGAAGAACTGTGTTCTTTTTTTTGGAAGGAGAGTGTCGTAGGTGTTTGAGTGAATGAGAAGGTGAAAGGAAATGAGTAATGTACTTGGGGTTGGATTTGAGATATAATGACTGACATGTCATTGGGGTCTACGTACATGGAATAATGGATCATTACCAAACATCAATGGTGTTATTACTAAGGTGGAAAATTGTTGTACTTTAAATATTTGGTCATGTTATTTTTGAGTTTTTTATTTTAGTCATTACATTTGGTTTAATCATTATTTCAATCCTTTAAATATTTTTTCCTCTGTTCTATTACTTTAATTTTCTATTTTTAATATTTTAATCCTTTAACCTTTTGTTTTTGTTATTTTGATCATTTATTTATTTGTTTTATATATATATACATATTTATTTATCTTTTTATTTTTTTTATATTTTTCCTTATTTTTAACACTATTTTTTACACTCTTTTATTTTTAAAGAATGAACATTTTTCTTCATTTTTATTTTTATTTTTTTTCTTTAACATTTTTATTGTTATTTTATCAACTTATTTATTTATTTTTTCTTCTCTTCGATTTATTTAATATTTATTTTTTCAGTCTAATTTTTTTTACTTTCTTAAGGGTAATTTCAATCGATCAAAGGTAATTATTTTGAATCGAATTTTTAAGTTTTAATTTAAATTTTAATTTTCGCGATTAAGACAACTGACAAATTAATTGGTACCGAAAGGGCGGTTCAAGGGTGCTAATCTTTTCTTGACCGTAACCGACTCTCGAACCCGACAAATTTCTGGTAAAACGCATATCAGGTAAGATGGTGTCCGATCCACCTAAATAAATATTTTAAAAGTGATCGGTGGCGACTCTAGCCTAACTCATTCACGTCGAATCTCAATTCCGGACCCAACCGAAAGACGGTTCCGACAACAAGACAAGAGGAGACCAATGAAACGTGAAGCCAAAAACCATTTAACATTTACTTATTGTCCATTTTTCTCCGTCGTGTTCGATTTTATGAAATCAGTTAGTCAAACTAAACCTAACCCAAAAATGAACTTATATTTTTTTATTAAATTGATAAAGGTTAATGTTCTTTTCTCACTTCATTTTAATTTGAATTTAAAATTTTTTTTATAGGAAATATATATTTATACTCTTAAAAAAGTATTTAATATTTTTAATAAATTTTTATATACATTTCAGTAGTTTAATCATCATATTTTATATTTTATAATCATAGGTTATGCACGTAAAATTTTTAATAAATAATTCATGATTGGATATATATCTAGCCGCCTACCAAGTCATCCTATATATGAAGCGTACTTCCGTTCTGCCGATAGATAACACAAAAGCCTCGTTTACAGGGTTTCATCGGCTTCTACGTAAAACATGAAGCTTGACAATATCGAAGTGATTTCCAAAGAGATGGTGAAGCCATCATCTCCGACCGTCGGCCAACCTCACCACTACCGGTTGTCGTTCCTCGATCAATTAAATCCCTCACTCTTTAACCATTTGGTCTATTTCTATCCCAGAGTATGCGATATCGATACCAATAAAATCAATATTACCGTTAGGCTAAAGCACTCCATTTCCGACGCTCTCGTCTATTTCTACCCACTGGCTGGTCGGATGATGGAGGACCAACTGTTCGTCGATTGTAATGATGAAGGGATACCTTTTGTGGAAGCTCGAGTGAAGTGCAAACTCTCAGATGTTTTGAACAATCCAGTTCCCAAAGAACTCAACAAGTTGCTTCCTTTCGGAATCCATGGCGTCAAAGAACTTCTCCTCGGAATCCAATTCAATGTTTTCGACTGTGGTGGGATAGGGATCGGTGTGTGTGTTTCTCACAAAGTCGGAGACGCCCTCTCGTTTTTCTCGTTTGTGAAAACGTGGGCGGCCATTGCTCGAGGGGAGACGAAATTCAACGCACCGAACTTCGAATCGGCCTTGCTTTTCCCACCACGAGAACTTCCGGGATTCTCACCGACAATCAGTCAATTGGAAAAGGACCAACTTGTAACCAAGAGATTTGTGTTTGGAGCCACCAAAGTTGAGGAAATTAGAAGAAAATATGCAGACAACAGCACCCAAACACGTCCAACTCGCGTTGAGGCCTTATCGGTTTTTATATGGGAACGTTTGTTTACTGCCGTCGGTGCAGATTCAACATCCAATAAGCTTTTCTTAATCTGTCACATGGTAAACATACGTCCAAGAATCGAACCCCCATTGCCGGAATCTTCATACGGAAACCTATACAGCGTTGCACTGACATTCCCATCAATGGAGAACAACATCGTTTCCCAGATGAGGGACTCCATTAAAGCAGTGAACAGTGAGTACGTGAAAAAGCTCCAAGATGGGTATAATCACTTTGAAAGATTTAGAGATATAGCAGAAATTTATGGAAAAGACGAGATTGTTTCCTTGGGTGTTACGAGTTTATGCAGGTTTCCTCTATACGAAGCCGATTTCGGTTGGGGGAAACCCGTTTGGGCGGCTTCGGGTGATCGACAAATCAAGAACACAGCAGTTTTCTTGGACACCATAACTGGTGATGGAATAGAGGCTTGGGTTACACTAAATGAGGAGATGATGGTGAAACTTGATTCCGATGAGGAATTGCTTGCCTACGTTGATGCTAAAAAAATCTTGTAATGATGATTATTTACGTACTTCCTGCATGTATGTGTTTGTGTCAAAGCTTTAAAGTGTGTGCTGCACTTCTTTGTGTTTGCATGTATTTATCATTTACCCTAAACCCTCTCTTTGAGGTTCTCTTTGACCTTCTTGCCCGTTAATAAAATCCTATGAATTAATATTAAAACTAAAATACTTTTAATTAATCTAAAGTAATTACGAGTGACAATTTTTGGCACTCGAACTTAAAATCTTTACAAATAATAATATTTTTTTAACCATTAAAATAATTTGTTTATACATAATTCTTAGCGATATTCATGTCTTTTTCATGTGTCATATTTATATTTAAACTTTACTTCATATAAATACAATAAAATCCATCACTATAAGAAAAAAATGAACAAAAGAAAAGAAAGTAAATAGAGGACAAGTGAGACCGACGAGAAAGCAAATTAGATAATGGGACGGGTCTCGTATCAATCATCATTCAAACACAAACATAAATAATCAATGTTTAATGATAAAATCAGATACGGAATTAATTTTAATTATAATTTAATTTAAATAATTATTTGTGTTAATATCGTTATAACATGTTGGTTTACCCTCTTCAAATTCAAGCCAAAATTTTCTAACCTTATTGGCTTATTGCTAATGGTTAAATGAAAGAAACAATTACTACCCTTCCAATAATCGAAAACAAATATATATTAATATTTTAGTTAATTAACGGTAACATTGATTTTTTATGTTTATGTGTAGCATAGGATGGGTATGGATCGGGTGAGGTCAGGTTTCCAGTTAATCTGATTCAACCTGAAAATTTTATACATTTATCCGAATCTCAATTTGAGATTATAGAAATTTTATCCGACCTGAAATTCGACCTAACTTTTGAGATAAAATTCAACTCTAACCCAACCCGAAATAATATAAAATTATTAATTTTATTTAATAAATAGGGATTTAATTGAAAAAATAATATAATGATGGGTATTCTTGCAATTATCCCTAAATATATAACGTATTTTTATATTATTTTTGTGTCAATTGGTCGTGCTTTTCACCCTAAATATGAACCCGACTCGACCCAAATTTATTCTCTAAAAATCCCGATCCCTAGTTGATTTAAAAAAAGTCAAACCCAATCAAGTCAGATCGGATCGAAATCCATCGAGTTCGGATCCCGTACTCATCCCTAGTTTAGCATGAATTGCAAGAATAATACTATGTCTTGTCGCCATTTTTTAAACATGAAATAAGTACGAAATAATATTTATTTAAAGATAATTCTTAATTATTTAAAATTGAACATTTATATTCTATTTTTTCATATTTTATTTGAATACTCGAGAAATAATAACAGTTGATTTTATTACTAAATTCGTTCGCTTTGTAGCTATCGCCTCTTATTATTTTTATAATGCAGGTACACTAACCATTTGGTACACAGAAAAAGGGTTTAGCATGGAGCTTGACGTCGAAGTGGTCTCCGATGATTGTGACGCCGTCATCTCCGACGGCCAACGGACTTCGCCGCTACCAACTATCGTTCCTGGATCAACTAAACCCCTCGCTTTATAACTTTCTGATCTATTTTTATCCGAAAATATGTGACACCGATGCCGATAAAAGCACGATTTCCGATCGGTTAAAGCGATCCATTTCCGGTGCTTTGACTTACTTTTACCCGTTGGGTGGTCGGATTACGGAGGACCAACTGTTCGTTGATTGTAATGATGAAGGGACACCCTTTGTGGAAGCTCGAGTGAAATGCCAACTTTCCGATGTTTTGAACAATCCAGTCCCGAAGGAGCTCAACAAGTTGCTTCCTTTCGAAATCCATGGCGACCATAAAATTCTCATCGGAATCAAACTCTACGTTTTCGAAGGCGGCGGGATAGGGATCGGTGTGTGTGTTTCCCATAAAATCAGAGACGCCCTTTCGTTCTTCTCGTTTGTGAAAACATGGGCGGCCATTGCTCGTGAGGAGACGAAGTTGATCGGCCCCGAATTCAAATCAGCCTCGCTTTTCCCACCGCGGGATCTCTCGGGGTTACACCGAGAATCAGTCAGTTGAAGATCGAACAACTTGTAACGAAGAGATTCGTGTTTGGTGCCACCAAAGTGGAGGAAATCAGAAGAAAATATTCCGAACAACCCCATCAATGGAGGAAAGTAACCTCGTTTCCCAAATGAGAGACTCCATAAAAGCAGTGAACAATGAGTACGTGAAGAAGCTCCAACATGGATATAACCACTTGGACTGCTTTAAAGAGAAGGCAGCGAGTTATGGAAAATGCGATATCGTTGCGTTTACTTTGACGAGTTTATGCAGGTTTCCTCTATACGAAGCTGATTTCGGTTGGGGAAAACCCATTTGGGCATGCTCCGGTGATCGGGAAATCAATAGCATAGCTACTTTCATGGACACCATAACTGGTGATGGGATGGAGGCTTGGATTACCCTAAAAGAGGAAGAAATGGCGAAATTTGATTCCTATTCCTATGAGGTATTGCTTGCATATGTTTATCCTCCAAAAAGCTTGTAAAGCATATTAACTTTATGTACCGATGAATGTTGATATAAGTGGTTGAGATTCAGAAATTTGAGTTTGTAAAGTTAAGTTCAAATTTTAACGTTGTTACTCTTAAAGGATAGTATACAAATTCCTATATAAATCTCGATTGAATCTTATGTATACTTTAACTCTGGACTGAGAGTAATCATAACCTAAACTTTTAGTACAAAAAATTATATAATGTTACATTATGATTCAATTCTGGTCCTTCGCTGTTAAAAAATAAACATTTTTTACAAAGATGATGCATTATTTTATGGTGACACATCAACATCACCTTTATTTTATAACGATAGTGGACCAAAACGTAAAATATATTAAATATATTTTAAAAATAATTTAATGATTAAAGAAAAATTACAAAAATAAATGTATAAATAAATATATAATATACTTTATTATTTTTTTCGAAGACTCCCTTCGAATCCCACTTCTCATCATGTGTGTTGGGATTTTAAGAGTAATTCATCTCCATATTACTGTTGCGATTAAATCCAAACAAAAAATCTAAACTTGATTTAATCTTATTATTATACTTAAATCTATTATTATAATAATTGTTTTCGCTAAGATGGTTAAAAAGCCCAAACTCGACGGTTCCTGATCTGATCTGGCTTTATAGAGGCATATTCGTTTTTTAAAATTTTGGGTTCAGGACGGGACGTGTTATATGATAAATAATTTCGGGATGGGTCGAGGTCGGGTTCAAGGTGAAAAAATCCGACTCAACCCGACCTGGTAAATTATTAATTTTCTTTAAATTTATGTAATATATTTAAGGTTTTAAGGATTTTTATTTTTTATTAAAATGTATTCTTTAATTATTAAAAATATAAAAAGTATTATATAACAGGGTTTCAAAAAACGTTACGCGATCGCGATTTCGTCCATGATATAGCGGTTTTGCCGCCGTCTGAGTTACCCGCTACGCCCGGGACGGCCACAATTACGGTAAACACGAAATAACCGAAAACGCGACCGCGACCGCGACCGCAATTTGAAACTCTGTTATATAATATATTATTTTAATAATTTAAAATATTATAAATAATTATAAATTTTTAGATCGAGTCGGGGCAGCCAAACCCGCCCCGTGCCATCCCTAGTTTTCACTATCACGATTAATTAATTCTGATTTCATTAAAGTTAATTTTATCATTTCTTTAAAGAGATTATAAAATCTCACAGCCATAGTATTTAATCTCATTATTAGCGTATATGATAATCTTATCGTCGTCATTTTTTCGTACGACTCAATTTAAAATATTTAAAATTATATATTATGGAGAAAAGTACAAATTCTATTACATCAAAGCCTAATCAAAACTTTATAGTATTTAAACATAATACTTTTATACACCTTTATAAAAAAAACCCTCTAATCATTTGAATTTAATTGAATTTACGATATTTTGTAATAATAATACAAGTTTTTTTTTGTTGTCCTAAAATTTTAAGATTTTATCTTGATTAATTTAAAATGATCGGGGTCGTATATTTGATTTTGATCGGATTTTTTATATATATAAGAACTCAAACTTAAGACTTTTCTTAAACGATATTAAACTGATTATCATCGGGTTGGTGTAATAATAATGCAAATTAAACTAAGATGTAATGAACTATTATATAAATATGATGTGTTTATAAATAAATAAAGCAAAATATGAATTTGGTCGAAGTCGCTATCCAATAAAGAGCGAAAACCAAATCCACGCGGTTGGAATTGAGTAGTGGGCCCGGGTTGCGGAGATCCCAATCTCACAAGTAAAAATTGTTTGGTATAATTAACAATGATTATTATTAATTTAATTCATAAAAATTTTAAATTTTAAATAATTAAACGTATAATTATAAATTAATTAAAATTTTAAATATAAAATATTTAAAATAAAATATTTTTTACATTATTTTCTATAATCTTTTTATAACAATTTTGAAATAATTTTTTAAAGGTTAATTATAAATTTTTTATTGTTACAAAAAGATTATAGAAAATGATGCAATTAATATTTATTTTAAATATTTTTCTTTAAATTTTTAATTAATTTATAGTTATACGTTGATTCCTTTAGAATTTTAAATTTTTATAAATTAAATTATTAGTGCTCAACGGTGCTCGTCGAACGTGACAGACTCGTCCTATTAATAATTATTAGTTGGTTTAACAAGATTAAAAGTTTGAGTAATAGTATTGTTAATATAATAAATCAAATTAAAATGGTCGCTCTCATAATAAATATTTGTAGTATTTGATTAAGAATGGTTGATCGACACATTAGATACCAATAGTTAAAATAAAAATTATAAGTAATAAATAAATACATATTTTATTAATAATTTAATCCTTAAAATATCAATTCAACCTATAGTTTTTTATTCGTTGAAAAATTTAAAAATATATTTAGAAATAAGTGCATTTTCTTAAGTTAATATCTGAAAAGCTTTTGCTCCAAAATTAATATTAAAACTGTAAATCCATCCACTATATTGATATTTTATTAATGATATTAATTTTTAATGAGATTGTTAGGAGGTTAAAACGAGTAATAATCCAAAAAAATAAATTCGGGAATATTTGCACTACACCCGGCACGTGTCAGTATGTGTGATCATTCATCTCTTCGTATTAGAACTCATTTGGTCTGCTAAAACAGGTGCCAAATTTCACCGATTTCGCCGTTCTCCCACTAAAAATAATAGAAATTAAAAAGGAAAATAAATTCATTTCCTTCTCTGCTCCTCAGCTCTGTCTTCTTTCTCGCGTTTTCTCGCCTTCGTCAGAAAATAAAAATCCTCTTCTCGCTGCTTGTTTGATCGAGTTTCCCGGTTTCTAAATTTGGCTCGAAATTCGAAGAGACGGAAGTTTTTGGTATAATCTCTGTCGATTGCGTTTGGCGGGACTGAAGAATCTATCGTTTGCTAAACTTAATCTTAATTCGGTGTTTGGTTATCGCTCATTCCAGGTCGTCTTCTTTGATTCATCCCTTTTTATTATTATTATTATTATATTGTTTCTTTGACCTATCTGATTCGTCGTGAACCCTGATTTAGGTTAGGCACGTTTCAGGGGTTGGAAGCGTTA